CAGCTTGGGAGCTGGATCCGGGGCGGCGCAAGAAGAAGGGCAGAAGGCAGCGACGGCGGCGCCCATCTAGATTTAGTGTACGTACCTCCTCCCCTCCCAATCTTGATTAGGAATCTTGTATTGTTTGATAAAAACTTCATCTTTTCACTGATTTGATTGGTTAATATGCACTGCGTTGGACTTGTTCAGCGTCATCAAGTTGCTGCTCAAGGAGTTACCCTCGTCGGGGGAGGCTCTCCACGGCGTCGGCCCAGGCGGCGCGTGGTTCGGCGAGGTGGTGCCCGGCGCCATCAGCTTCCTCCTCGTCATCAACAGCGCCACGGCGTTCAACGAGTCCCTGTGGCGTGCCATCGGTGGCGTTCTCCACTGGTGCGCCGCCGCCACCCAACAAGTGTCACTGCAATGCACTGGCGGCGGCTGTGCCAGCGCTCGTCGTCTGCTCACGCTCATTTTCCTCCTCGGCCACCACCGCCCCACCAGTGTGTGCGTCAGTCCGTGCCTCGGATCTGTCATCTCCCCTTCCTTTTGATGCTAATCCTCTAACCGTGCACGTTCCGTGCTCTTGCAGCATACTATGGATCGAACGAGCGTGGTCTTCAGCACCGTAAGCTTCTCCAGTCTCCCCTGCAAACTTGTTTAACTTCATACTCCCTCAAAAGTCCCATTATCTCAACAAAAAAAAGATTAGTATAGTCTCAGTTTCTAAATTGACGCCTTAGATGTGCTTGGGGTTGCTTTACTAGGAGCTGGTTGGCCTCGGGTATGGAGTATCTGAACAAATGCTTTGCAGTATGAGGGAGCCGTCAAGACGGATGGCAGAGGACAGAGAATCTGGGACACGTTTGAGCACACTTTCGGTATGTATGCTGAATTTGTGCGTTTCGGATTAGATGGTGTTTTTCGCTGGCGTTTCGTTGGTGTGCCTTGATGTTGAATTATGTGTTCTGTTCATATGGTATGGATGTGGATGCAGCTTCATTATATGATGATACTCTTCTTTGGAGAGCTTGCGCTGATGGACTACTGCATGACGACAATCTACTATCCTTTGATGGCCGCTGCTTCTGTTGTGTACGTTGCTCGCTGCACGTTGAGGTAGAGTCCTCTCTGGACAGAAACTCTGAAGTACCAGATCAGCCCGACACGCCAGTGACGCCCAACTTCCTCACCCAGCTCACTGAGGTCACTTTCCATTTCAAAACTTGGTCACATTCAGTTTTCAGTACATCAGACGATTCAGACCTGAAGAAGTAGAGACATGTCTGAATGAATGTCTGGAACTCTGGTTGTTCTATCTATCAGCAAGAATATCTTGCGGTAATTAAGCAACTCCGCTTTGCCGTTAAAGTTTTGTGACTTCCAATTCAATCTAATAATGCAGAACAACTGGCTTATGACTGTCATAAAATGATTCCTGCATTATCCATGCTCAAAGTGTCAAAGTAGGCAACAAAACGATATTAAAAATTAGAGGTGATCCTTGGTGCTTTCTATGGCTTATGACTGTCGATAGTCCTTGGTGCTTCATACTGGTCTGTGTGAAGTAGAATTATGATACTCTATAGTAGTATGGAGTTTCATCTTGACAGCAAAACAACTATTCTTAGTGTGCAGCCCCCATGTTATTATTTTATTCCTATCAATGATGCTTAGTTTACCAATCTACGTACATTGTTGTTAGGTCAGTATGATACTGTAGCAGATTGTTTGAGAAGCTCATTTATGATATCCGCAAGAGCAAAAAAAGTAAGAAAAAAACACATAAATTAACTCTGAGCTGAGAAACTATTGATGACTAAAAACTGAGCTGAGAAACTATTGATGATTGAAAAATAATGATGGAATGTTGCTTTCTTGCAGGTGCAGGCTAAAAGATCAGTGAGAGAATGAGGCCACCTTGGAGTAACATTGCAGATAAGTATTGTCACTCATACATAGGTTCTGAATCAATATTTTGTTCTCTCTATAAATTAAAAATAATCTCTGAAAATATGCTAGAATAATCTTTACAAAATCTCTTATAGCAACACACTAAGATACTCAACCAAATTGTGCTAGATGGGCTAGCGCAGTAGCATAGAGACCATTCTCGCACGACAACCGATGAGGTAGCCTCCCTTCTCTTTCTAGGCGTTGCTTATTCATATGTGGGGGTTTGTACCTATTTCCTCCTCCAATTTTCATGACCTCTTTCATGCACAATTGTAGACTTAGGAATACTCGATTCAGAATTGCCTCATCATATTCTTTAAACTCTTCCACCACATTATGAATTAGATCTTCAATAGTTTCTGGACTTCCACAATCAATTAAGGACTGTATAGAGTTGAAGAAACCAAGATCCAAAACATTCATGTCAGGGGAGTTTGCTGGTTGTTGCATTAGTCTAATGTCTAGACCAGTAGCCGCCACAGTTTCAAGAAAAGCTAGGTCATTTGGATGAACATGGGTTCTAGCATTGTCTTGTTGAATGAAAATAGTCTTGCCTGCGTCTTCTTGTGGCCACTTATCTTTGATGGCTGGGATAACCTTTTCAAGCAAATATTGCCTCATCACCTCCCTATTGACTATGATAGATTTAGTTTCTAAGGTCCCTCTTTCTCTGTTCTGGCTCCTCCTTGCCACAGACACCTCTTTCACAAATGGCCATACTCCGAGCTTTCCAGAAAACATCAAATTTTCTTCCTCATCATATTTTGGCCTACCTACAGCAGTCAGGAACATGACTTTACCAATGTTGTTCTTGTTCTGAATAGTGCGTTCAAGATCATCTTCTTCAGGTGTCAGGTAGTATTTTTTCCCCTTTTTGGTCATAAAATACCATTTCTCATCAATATGCACTATATTCTGCATATCAATGAATTTAGGTTCTGCATGCCCTAGAGTTTCCTGATCCAACATTGAAATACAGAACTGCAGTCTATCCCTTTTGTTGCTCTCTCTCTCAAGTGTGGCTTCAATGTACTGGAGTGGCGTCTTATCTCACCCAGCTTGAACTTCCTGTGTAATGTCGAAACACTGACGTCTAAGGATTTGGCTAGTGACTTTAAGGTGGATCTTCTATTTAGTGGAATTGTGGCCATTTGAGAGAGATCAAGTTGAACTTTCTTGCGACCCACTTGACCTGTTATTCTGTTAGAAACATCAACCTCTTGTCCTAGTGCAATCTGCTCACATGCACATTTCCAGATCCTTTGGATAACTCGAATATGAGCATGAAAGAAAGTAGCAACCTCCTTTGTTGCATTCTTTGGTAGTTTCCCATTTCTGCTCTTAGCATGCAAAGATGTGTACATAGCGTATCTCTGAGCATCAGTTAACCATCTCCTTAACCTCATTTGTGGTACCACATATGCAAGTGTAATAATAAGAGAAGAAAATTAGGTTGATTCAGATTAATGGTTTTTTTAATTCATGGCATTGAACAACTAAAAGATTATAAATCAACAACATGCCAACATGCTATTCAGAACTCACTTATGGATAAGCCAACATGCTATTTTTGTAAGAGCACAAGAAAATGGACAACATGATGATGTTATTTAGCCACGAGCATATTGAATTTGTATTTGTTGGCTAGATCAAAATTTCTAACTCATCAGTCACATTCCAGCATATTTTTAACTCATCAAGCCTGCTAACAGAGGAGCGAGGAAGAGGCAGATGCAGAACTTATACCTGCAGCAACAGAGTCACCACCTTCATCTTCAGCTAGAGTGTTGGCATCCTGGTGGGCTGTAGAATCGCCTTCTCCATGTATGATTCTGTTGTTGTCTGAAAATTAGGTTGATTCAGATTAATGGTTTTTTTAATTCATGACATTGAACAACTAAAAGATTTAATCAACAACATGCCAACATGCTATTCATAACTCACTCATGGATAAGCCAGCTTGCTATTTTTATAAGAGCACAAGAAAATGGACAACATGATGATGTTATTTAGCCACGAGCATATTGGATTTGTATTTGTTGGCTAGATCAACATTTCTAACTCATCAGTCACATTCCAGCATATTTTTAATACATCAAGCCTGCCAACAGAGGAGCGAGAAAGAGGTAGATGCAGAACTTATCCCTGCAGCAACAGAGTCACCACCTTGATCTTGAGCTAGAGTGTTGGCATCCTCGTGGGCTGCAAAATTGCCTTCTCCAGGTATGATTCCTCTGTCTGAGTCTTCTGGAGGTGTACAATTAAGGTCTAGCAAAACAGTTTCTGCCATCTGAGATGAATTGCAGATCGAACCACTCAATTTCACACATGTTGATGTAGATGATGCAACATTTGATGTGTTGGCTTGGATGCAGAGAACTAGAGGGAGGTCAGCTGGACGGGGGTGATCTGGCTTGGGGAGCTCACCTAGTGATCACATAGCTCTAATTCTGCTACAAATCCAGTGAGGCTGGGTGGCCAGCGCTGGTGAGCTAGGCTCACCGGCGAGTGGCCAGACGTGAAGAAGTGGATCTCGTGTCGGCGTGATGGCTTCCTGGCACTGGCGGGAAGATGCTCTGAGAGAAATTTGAAATCGGAGGTTGCGTTTCTGAGAGAGAGAGAGATCGGAGGTTTCGTTTAGAGAGAGAGAGAGAGAGATTTAAAATTGTTGGTGTGCGTATGTGTAATTGCTTCGTGTACTTTATTTGAAAATGTCTTCATATGCTAGCTGTCACCCACAAGTTGCCTACATTAACTTTATTGGCAGAGGGGCAGAAGTGACTATCTACACCTTACCTTAATCTCTGCTAAAACCTCCGGAACGACTTACAAATTGGGATGGAGGGAGTATTAGGTAATACTAATGTACATGCATGCTTGTTAAACACTCACACACCCCTAGCAGAGGCCAGAGGGGCCCCAGGGAAAACAAAGAAGGGAGAGGAAAACAGATGACTACGGGACAGTAGAGACAGTCAGTGCCAAATTCTCTGCCATTCACGATTTCACGTAGCAGGATCTCTTAACTTGGCAGGCAGTTAGCTTGACCCGTTGCGTCGTCTGTCGTCTCATTGCAGCCTGAGCCTGGCCCTGTAGAGGCGCTTCCACTCGACGAGCCGCAGCAAGAACTCCATCACCTGCGCATCATGCACAAAGCAGATAGAATCAGCGGCGGCGGCGTAGGTCGGCGCATACCTACGCATTTGGCGGCGGCTGCACAGGACGTGAGATCGGCCGCAACCGCAACTAGTGGTCTCTGTCGCCTGGTGCTGGTGGTGGTCCAGGTGTGGTAGGCCACACGGGAAGGCCGTGTGACTGTGAGAATCAAACAAAGCACAGGCGCGCGAGTAGTGGCGACACTGTGCGGCCGGCCGAGGGAGATGTGGACATGGACACGGGGTCGACACGGATACGTAGAGATAGGCTGCTGGATCACTGACCTCGGCGGGCTCTTGGAGCGAGTAGGAGGCGGTGGTCTCCTTGGGGTGCTTGGACACGAGGATCCCGACGCCCTGGCCCTGGCCCCGGCGACGGAGCACCTTGAAGGCGTCCTCGTCGGTGCGGTCGTCGCCGATGTACACGGGCAGCACGTTGCTGCAGTCCGCGAAGCCGAGCGAGTCCAGCAGGAACTCCAGGGCCTTGCCCTTGTCCCACTTGATGGTGGGCCGCACCTCCAGCACCATCCGCCCCTGCGTCAGCCGCAGCTTCGGGTACTCGCGCAGCACGGCCTTCACCGACTCTGACAGCTCGCCCCACATCTGACGATAGATAGATCATCTCGGTTATTAATCATGACGAATTGACGATGCGTGGAGGTTACTAGCTAGTGCTGGATTTGGAGTTGTATTAATTTGCCGATAATCTATTCTACAATGCAGCGCGGTTGGGCACGGGCGAAGACAGATAAAGCTGAAAACGGCAAGAGAAAACGACGGCCATTTGTTAGTTAATATATTGGCGAGCGAACCTTTTCGTGGACGCATCTGAAGTGGACGGAGACGCAGAACTTGTTGTTCTCCACCTTGGCCCCCGGGATGCAGCGCGTCGTCTCGACCAGGCGCTCGTGCACCTCCTCTATCATGGGCAGGAACTCGCTCGCCGGCTGGAACACAACTCCTTTTGCCTTGGCCTTTGCGTGCCGGGAAGAGGCCTTGGCTGGACCTTTGATGTCCATGCCGTGGCTACCGGCGTAGTACAGCTCCGCCAGCTTCACGAACTCGAACACCTGCATGTGCGTCGGAATTAAAACCTCGGTTAGTTAGTTTCCGTCGTCGTCGGCGGTGGTGGGTGCGTCATCGATGAAGTCCGGCCATATAATGGGAGGTCGAGATGCTTTGGTGGATACCTTGTCGCGGCACCGGCCGCTCACGATCGCCGTCGGGAAATGCTTGGCGACGCTACGCACGGCCATCCGCATCTGCTTGTTGGCCAAAAAAACAACAAACACTTGTGAGCCTGAGCATCGACGACCGATCGAATAAGAGGTAGTAGTGGCCAGTACGCAAATAACGCTTATAGTTGTCTGCTCACCGTCTCGCTCATGAAGGCGGCGTCGGGGTCGTCCACGATGGGCGACAGCGTGCCGTCGTAGTCCAGGAACATGACGATCCGCTTGCCCTCGGAAGCCGCCACGATCTGCTCGAACTTGCCCAGCGCCGACGGGTGCCGCACCATCCACGCGGCGCGCTCCTCGTCCACGGCGCCGGCGGCGAGCGCGGCCGCGGCCTTGGCGTGCGTGGGCGACGACGCGCGCATGGACTCCACGCCCCAGCACGCGCCGCCCAGCAGCCCCGCCGCGCCCGCGCCGAGCTCCACCTGCAGGCCGCACTTGCGCCGCACGACGGCGGCTGCGATCCCGGCGCCACGCGGCGGCGGGTACGGGAACAGCGTCGTCCCCGGGCAGGGGCACGACGCCTGCGCTGCTGGCACGCCCACCTCCGGCACCGCCACGCTGGACTTCGCCATCAGTAGCAAAGAGAGCGTCCGATCGGTCGGTCGACTGATGATGTGGTGATTATCAAGAACGCGATCAGTTCCAGCAGAGGCTGGAGATTGTGGGAAAGAAATGATTGGTGTGGTGTGGATGCGTTCGTTGAGGAGGCGGGAGGAGGGCAGCTCGCATTTATAGCTGCCGGGCTGCGGGCTGCCGGGGGGAGGCGACGACGGGGTGACTTGGATCCGGCGTGGGCCACTGCGGGCGGCCTTGGCCGCGTCCACCGCACCAGGTGCCCCGCGCGTGCACGTGCCGGGCCCGCCGCGGCGCATACGTGTGGGCCTCACGCGCGTGACACCTTTTGGCGTTTCCTTCCACGACAACGCTCTTCGCTCGTTAATCGTTATTACGCTAGCTGTTTGTTATTGTGCAGGTCGAGCTTTACAGCCTCGTTTCTGTTGTCTTGGTGGGCTGAAACTCGTGCCTTATTCGTCCTGCGAGGGGTTTTCGGCTCCAGGTTTTGATGCGAATCGCAGTTTCCTGACCTGAATGAATATAAAATATCCATGAAGATTTGGTCCGTAAAGTTTGGTTAAAAAAGTACTACACATCATGGCATTTTGAAGTCCCAAGGTTCCTTCATTACTCGATCCTTTTGATACCAAATTTGGATCCATCTAGGAAAATGGATTGGATTTGGATACTCCAAAAGCTCAATTGGACTTTGCCTTTGTTGATGACTAGATCTATTTAGACTTGGATGTATATATGGAGTTGAAATCCAGGTGTAAATAGATAATTGGATATCCTATTGGCTAAAATATATTAGGTCATGAAAAGGAAAAAAAAATAAAAGTCACAACCTCTACTACCGGTGAGGATGGTGAGAGAGAAGGGATGTTACTCGAGCTATAATACAGTGCTCTATTGGTAGCTATCAGCATTTCTAGCACCAAGTTCATTTTGACGAGGTTGCTCGCGCTTGTGCTTGACAATCTGATGACCGTTGCGGCTCTGGTTTAGTGGTGAAGGGCCCTGGATCACTGAGATGAGAGTGCATACTCTAGGATTGTCATCATGGACTCGCTGTAAATCATTATATCCCAGTGTGACTTTAGGGGCTTGAGTCATATATTATGCTTATGTTGGAGTGAGATTTAGGACGCGACAAATCACAGTCTCATGTTTCATTCTCTTTCGATGGTCTCTGGCAGCAAGGTGATCAACTACCTCAATCTAGCATCCTTCCACGTGTCCCAACGCACTTTCATAACTAATTCGATTTCACAGGAAAGACATAGAAATATGTAAAACTCTTTTGTTCCAAAAACGAGTGGTGTTTTTATAACTCCAAAAGGGCTACAACTTTAATAATGTTATAGTTTTGGAAACAATGAAGTTTGTTACATCAAACACTTCATGATGCTCCAAAACCAAAGTACTTTTTTTTCTTCTAAAACTACAAAAAAACATTTAAATGGGCCGACCGACCAGCATGTTTTGGGTAACTAGCAATTGTCTTGCCATGCTTTTTCTTGTGTTGTTGGTTAGTAGGTGGATAATTGGATCAACCTTGGACTTGTGGTGGGCGAATAGGATTGGTTCAGAATGGACTTTCTTCAACTTAAATTGGATGGGATTGGAATTTGACACATTTGGAATGGCTTCGGTTACTTTTTTTTTTTTTTATTTGGATTCCAATCTATTATCTATCACCTCTAGTCGATTTAGACCTAGGCACAAAAAACAGTTAACAAATAATCACTCTGACGTTAATGTTTATTCATACGACATTATTCGATCTACTAATGAGCAGATATTTGATTCACATTTTTACTCGGACTTGTACAATTCTTCTTCTTTTTTTGTTGCGATTTGTATAGTTCAAATTCATTCGAGCACAGAAACATGAACGATTTGACTGTTCTATTTGACCCATTTCTCACCTTATAAGCCGTTAGTCGTTGTTCAATAGGGTGGTGGCGCACCACATAGCACTAGTAATAGGTTATTAGTATAGCATATTTCGTAGGTTGGTACCATCGTTGGGTTGGTGGAGGGAACCATATTCAGGAACCGTGCGGCGTGCGGCGGTGCATGCATCTCGGCGAGGCCGGGCAGCCCATTGGCCGGTCCAGGTCCAGTCCTGGAAAAAGGACGCGACCTGCTCGCTGCCTCTGCTGCTGCCCCCGACCGTGCCAGGAGTCGAGTCACCCTTTCCACGTCGAAGCTGCGCGGAGTTGGTTGGTGCGCGCGCGCGCGCATCGATCGCATGATTAGGTGCCCCGAGGCCAAATAATTTAGCGGCGGGGGCACATGCTGCCGTCGTTTTCCGCTGTAGGGACCCGGCGGTCGCCGCCGCCGAGTTGCTTGGTGCCAGCCGGACGAAACAGGGGCGCGCGCTCGCACCGGCCGCACAAAACCGCGCGCCGAGAAAGCGGCGGAACCAGCTGTCTGAGCGGCTGAGCAGACAGATATACGCCCAATTCGTTTGGGCTGATTTGGCTTATAAACCATGACTGAAAGTATCGTTGACTGGTTTGGTTTTGAGAGAAAAATACTGTTCGTTATCTAATAAGTCATAACTTATAAGCCAAATACGATCGAGCGAACAGGTTGATACACTGTCAAAGACGTTAACATTAACAAACCGGACGAGGAATCTTTGACGGCCCGTCGGACGCGGCCTGGGCCTAGCAAGCAGGGAGCAGGGACGCATCGTCTTTAGCGGGTGGCATAGAGGCGGGACGGGTAGCACCAGGAATTATATATAGTGAAGTTGCGCTCAAATTCCACCATCTTAAAAAGAATTACAAGGAACCTCTACTTCTGCCAAGAAAAAGCACGTAGTGTTTATATCATTTTTCTGAAATTTAGAGAAGATAAGAAAATCGACTAGTAGCATGGCAGGCACATAAGAAATAGTTGGTTTTTAGGTCGTTGCATAGGGAATGAAACTACAATTCAATGACCGTCACCTCTTCTACAGCAACGGTAATGCTCAGGAGCGGACGTCCGTCCGACCAGACACCGTGCGCCCACTTCCACCTCGCTGCTGTCCACTACATGAGACTAACATTTTCTCGTCACGAGCACCCACGATGCCCGCACTGACCGCCAAGCCGGCGCTCCCAGCGGCCTTCCTCTGTGTCCCATCCCCGCTCCTCTCCAAGCCGCCCCCCCAATGCCGCACTCCCCTCCTCCCACCATGCCTCCCTCTCGCGCCCATGCGGCTCTCCATTGCCATCTCCGTCCCAGGCCCACTTCGTCCGCGGCGTCGCGGCTTTATTCTCCTTCTCCACCGCGACCTAGCGTCGGATCCCGCTGTGCAGTGCTCCGCCCGCCCACCCACCTGCCAGGGTTTGTTGAAAGCGCATTTGCAAGCGTGTGTTTTCAAATGTTTCAGAGGTATGTTGCTCTATACACACATGTTGCAAGCATCTATTCCAAATATTTCATCTGTTTTTTCATACGTATGTTGCAAGTGTGTTTATTTGGATGTTGCATAGTATTCACACATATGTTGCAAGTGTTTTATCTGGTGTTGCATATGTCTTGCAATGGCTTTTCAAGTGTTTTTTTAAGTTTTTTTTTCAAGTGTTTGATACACATGTTTCAAGTGTTTCACCTGTCTTCAGACGTATGTTGTAAATGTTTCATCTAGACGTTTCAAAAGTAGATCGGGTATCGCACGTATGATGCAAATGGTGCCGGTGGCTAGCGGACAGCGGCCTACCGCAGGGCTTCAGCTCTTACATCGTGCCTTCCTCGCGCGGCGCGCCTTGCCCTCTTCTCCTCTCCCTCCTCTCCCTTCCCTTCCCTCCATCTCGCTGCAGCAGATCGAGCTCGCGCGGGAAACAGAGGGGCACGGATGGCCTCGCGTGTGGGTGTGGGTGTGGGTGTGGGTGTGCAGCGTGGGCGAGGTGAGTCAGTCCAGGCAGCACGGAATCCGAGCGGGCGGGGCGCACGGCACGTAGCAGAAGCAGAAACAGAGAGCGGACACGGGCATCCGTTCAGACGTTCGGCCGCTAGCACTGCCGCTACAACAAAGCTGGTAGAAAAAAAAACGTCTCAGTCTAAACTCTAGAGTGCACGCTACAAGATTGCTGGATCTCTCATGTCTTTCTGGTCATATCCATGACAGAAATGAGAGAATTCATGTGTCTTTGAGAGGCGATCAGTGTGACATATTGTATCACGAACATGGAAGCTGATGATCAGATCAGGTTGCGTTGTTGATGAGTGGATGGGTAATATATCGCATGTATCAGCTAGCACATTTGGTTCAAAGGAACCTTTAGTGAACTTAAATCACCGTGATTTGAAAAAGATAAAGCATCATTGAAGTGTTGTTTCTTTGATTGGACCTTGCTTCACAAAAAGACTTGTAAACAATTTACAAAAGAGAGGCTGAAACAGAGAGGACGGATACATAACCTGATTTACAAACTTTATAACCGGGGCTGCTGACCGGTGACGCACGGTGGCTGTCCGTCGCGCCACCCCCTCCGGCCACCCGTCGTGGCCTCCGGCCAGCACCGTGCCCGCCACCGCCCTCATTGCATCGCCCACGACTACCGCTGCCGCGAGGTACTCCCCTAATGAGTCTAGTTATACATTAGTTGTTGTAGTTAGCCTTGTATAGATGTTAATATTAGATTAGTTAGTATAGGTATAGTTAGAATAGGTATTAATATTACTATGGACATTACGTACAACGATTTCGATGAATTGATGAAGTTTCTTGAAATGCTTTTGTAGATGGATTGTTGTGTTAGAGTTTTATACGGAGGAAGTGTTAGGAGAGAAGATGATATGTTTGAGGATATGGAAAAAGAATTGGAATGGTTTGATGAACCTCCTAGCTTCAACGACCTTTGTGTCCGTTTGAATACAAAGTTTGGCGGTGATTTCACACTGAAGGGGAGGTTTGATACTGGAAAGACTAGGGCACACTATGTCCTCATGCCCTTGCGTGACCCTGCTTACTGGTCCGCTACACTAGGGTGCTCTCAAGGTTTCAATGTGCCCA